GATTGCATGATCAAATCTTCAATGTACACGAGTCTTTTATCTCTATATTCAATTACGGTTTTGTGAATATGATTGTAAATTCATTTTTGGTGCATTTAACCGGGGTATGCAGGTTCACCGGTGACTATGCATGGAATCTATCAAAGAGAGTGGATCGTTATACTGTAAATTCGAATCTCGATACTGTAGATATGACTAATTGATTACGTTCAGCTTTTTGGTACAAAAAAAAAATCTTTGATACCAATAAATATGAATGCATATAGAAATGAATTCATGATGATCATACATTTTTTTATCTTTCTTTTTCACATGCAAACCATACATTTTTTCTGCCGTATAGTGAATTCTACATGCAATAAATAATTGTGTTACCAAGTGGCTTTTGGTTTGGTGGTTTCATTCTCTTAAAAATGAGAAAATATCTCTAGTTCAAGTACACTTGGAAAGAGGGATATTTCCGTTTTTTTATCGAAAATTGATTTCATTTCATTAAACCGGGACAAAACCGCGGTTGGTTGGTACAACATTTAGAGCTGATTTTGCCAGTGAATCGGCATTTACATTGAGAGATCGAGGGACATAAGCAAAGGAGATCTCTAAATCGATGGCGAGCCTAATGCTATCTTGCATGATATCGTAGATTTTCAAGTGAAATTTGCCAGATTTTTTAAGGTTGATCAATTGGTGGGAGTCCGATGCCATCGTGAATCCCTTGAGGTTCTCCGCAGCTGCTTGTGATAGGGCCTCTCGCATCGCCGCCGCTTCCGCCATCAGAGGAGATCCAATCCGACTCTCAACTTTGGATCCTTGAGCCACGGTTAGATCATGAAGGTCTTTAATGATCCATCCCAAGCCCGCTATATATCGATCCGTTTTTCAAGCCACGAAGATGAAGGCTTAGATCGAACTTCCAAATGAAACATTTCCAAAGGAAATAGACTAAAGGCTGACTCCAGGTCCATGAAGATTAAAATTTAGGTCCGAACTTCGAGATTTTC